GCTCTGCTGGAGTAGCTGCTGACTGACTGCTGTTCAATATGATCAACAGTGATGCCTGGCAAGGTGGGCCAGCTATTAGCTTCCTCGGGCACTGACAGCACGGCAAATGCTTAGTCCACATGTCCACCCACTGATTCAGGTTCTCACCTGTTAGCTGGAATGATTGTGTGGACGAGCCTGCTGCAAACACTTCTTGCACGGCGCGCACCTTAGAAAAACTTTGGGCTTGCGATGCTCCTGACTCGAGTGCTTCTCTGGCACGGGTGAGCCAGGCGTTCGCGGAAACTTGCTCTGCCTTGCGAACCGCAGACTTCGCCCCATTAAACGTAGCAATGGCCTCACGGGCGAAACCCGGACGCACCGGCACTGCAAAGCCATCGCCGGAGAAAGAACGCGAGGCCTCATCGAGCCTCTGGGTCATCTTGCAGCTGACAGCTTTTCGCATGAATCGCGAGAACTCGGCAAGCAAAGAAATCAACTTGAACCCATGCTCTGTCACCAAAGGGCTCACTGCGTCGGCCTGTTGCAGCTTCTGTTTCTGCTGCGCCAAAAACTCGCGAGACTTGTTACTCTGCTTTATAAGCGTCACAGCTGCGGAACAAGCTCTCGCCGTAGGATCTTCGCAGGTTCCCTTCTTGGGGGGGCGCCAAACAATGTTCACCTAGCGGACCTCGGGGAGGCCACTGCGGTCCGCGTAGGCCTCGGCGCGGGAGCCAACGGCGCCCCGGCGCCCCGCCAACTCTCAAATCCCTCGAAAACAAAATCCCAAACACTCTGGCAGGTCATCTGCTCTCTTCGCAGCCAACGCGGCCAAGGTAAAAAGGCTCTGCCAGGCGTGACGTGGAAATGGCGCGCAGCCAATGGGGGGCTCCGCTGGGAAACGATTGGGCCGCCGCATCGTGCGTGCCCGAACAGGCCTGGCACGCGCCGACCATTGGATAACCGCGGGCAGATGAGGGCACGTGCCAGCGCCCTCAATCACCAGCCAACTGCTGGATATGAAATAGTCATAGACACTGCCTGTCGTCGCTTAGCGACACGTTGGCAGGCGCGGCACCCCGCCGACCGCCGCAACCCAATCGAACTGCTGCAAAGCTTCTGGTTCCACATCCCAGCCAGCTCCAACAATCCGAGGAATATGCTTGCCATTCAGTATCGTCAGAAACTCAACTAACGTGCGAAGCAGGCTAGCGTTCTGCGGGCTCACATCCACAGAACCCTTAAAGTGCGCCGAGACAAATACGACGCCGCCTGCCAGAAAGGCATGCACATGCGCTGCACGCACGCGGCCTGGCGCCAGAGCCCTTGCGAGACAGCGGCAATCAAGTTGCGCCCCGCAAGCGCTGCCACTCCTACCGCGGCCCCAGGCCCGCCGTCCTCGTTGTGCATCGCGGGCGCCCACGAGCCACGAAAGCCTGCGTCGTCGGCACGGGCTCGCTTCTCGCGGTGCTCTTGAATCATCGCTGCGTCTTCAGTAGCTGACGCCAAGTACACTATAAGAGGTCCATGGCTTGTAGTATCGACCGTGACCATGCGTCCGTGCGCGACCTGGCTGCCAGTCCCAGAACCCGCACGCAGCGGGGCCGCGGCGACACCCACCGAGCTGTCAGCCGCCCCCTCTCCGCCGCCCTTCCCCAATATCGGCCGAGCGGAGCAATGCCGTTTTGCGCGGCGACCGCCCTGTCTAGCGCCAACTAGCTGACCTGGGGCAGTCCTGGGCTGGAATGCGGACATTGAAGTCGACGCGGTCATCGGGGGGGGGGAATCGACGCACGTGTTGCATCGCGGCTGGTTTCAAACGCCTCCAGCAAGCCCTGCGCCAACCTGTCAGGGCCTGCCCTCCCTAATCAACTGGGCAAACCAGCATGGCGGGGCGGCCCCGCAGCGGCCGGCGCGGTCTCAGTTTTCTCAAGCGGAAGCACAGTGGCCCGCCCGTGAGGGGCCGAAAGGGGCGAAGCTGCATCCGCCCGCGAAGCCGGCGCGCACGTTGCGTCGCAGCTGGCCGCAGCCGCCTCCAGCGATTCCTGCGCTGTCCTGACTGGGCGAGACCTCCCCCCCCAAGCGGGCGGGTCGGCGTGGGGGGGCGGCCCTGCGGCAGGCAGCGAGGCCCCCGCTTCTTCTGGCGACCGCGCAACAGCTCGCGCAGGGGGGCAAGGCGAGGCGAGGCGAGCGCGCGGCTCCGCCGGGAGCGGGGGGGGCCGGGTCCTCCTTGTTCGTCGAGGTCGGGGTGCTGAGTTATGAGCTGGTGGTCGCTGAAGGTCAAATGGTAGAAGTGGAGGGTCGGAAGCCAGATGCTGAAATCGGAGTGCTGGGCGGTCGGCATGCGGAAGTGGAGGTGGGGAGTCGGATGCTGGAGGGCGGATGTCGGAGTTCAGACCTGCAGGGCGCCGGAGGTCGATGGGCGGAGGTGGAAGTGGAAAGTCGCGCGCAGGGGGGGGCCGAAACTGAAAGTGAGGAAATTCCCGCCCCTGTAGTGGGCAGGGAACAGCCATGGGCAGCCCGCGGGGCGCGCGCCATCCTGCAGTCCATCTCATGACACCCCCTCGCTGTCGCAATGTCCTGGGTTTTGGTAGATGGCGAAACGTTCAGGTCGGCGACGTCCTCCACCAGCAGCTCCATGGGGTCGACCCCGGGCACGTCCAGAGCTGCGCCAGGTCGCAGAGGCTGCGGGCCAGTAGCAGGGCCCGCCCCTGTTTGATCAGCTGCAGAGCGAATCATCATGAAGAGGGTTGTCAATAAAATCCAGAACTGGCCGAAGCGGACCGCCCTATCTTCCGTGATGCGCCGTGCAAATCTTTCCGTGGGCCTGGGAGGTCTGCAAGAGGTGCCGCTTGAGCTTCGGTCATGAGCTGTGCGGGCCCCCTCTTCGGACGCATCCGCTGGCTCCTGTGTCCCCGAGACGCCGCATGCCTGAAGATGAGCCCGATGAGCCGCAAGGCCCATAGCGCCCACATGTGAGAACCGATCCTCCGCGTCAACATACAGGAGCTCAGGCTCACCACCCGTTGCCGCCGCATCGTTTTCCGCTGGCCCTGGCGGTGTTGACGGCGCTGGCTGAGCGGCAATTTCCTCCTTGAGCTTCGTGACGGTTGCGGCACTCGCATGGAGGTATGTGGCGAACTTGTCGCTGTCTCTCATTGCTGTGATGACCGCGTCGAACTGCTGAACTGTCGCCTCGAAGCCAGGGATGGGCGCTCCCCCAGGAACTGTGGGAACGACGGCCTGTCGCAGCTTCCTTTCCAGCTCCAATATGTGTAGTTCTGCCGGTTTTTTTTCAGCACGAGTGCTCTCCCCAGGCTCTCTCGCCTTGACCGCGGCCTCCTCTGCACTCTGGAGCTTGTTGGTGGCCGCGCAGAGCTTGCTACGCGCATTCCGAAGTCTGTTGTCGAGATTCGCCACATTGACCTCCTTGGGTTTTGTCCGCCGCAATCTCGGCCAACAGCTTTTCCTTCTCACCAGCAGACTTGGACTAGGCATCGGCATACTCATCATCCAGCGCAGCCAGGACACGATACAGCTTCGCCAGGCGAGCGTGCTTCTGTGTAGGTGGCTGATCATCCCCCTTGGCCCGCGGGGTCGATGGAGCAGCAGACGCAGTCTGGGACACACCGAACTTGGCTACCTGTTGCTGCAACTCCTGGACCTGCTCAGCGAGCGCCTGCTCTCGAGCCGAGAACAAAGACATCTGCACGCTTGATGGAGGCCTCTTTGAACAAGGTGCCTTTGGGAAGCCCGCAGAGAGCGCATACCTTCTTGTCAGCACGGTTGATCCATGGCGCCCCGCTGGGCTTGTGAGTGCACCACTTGCCGTGCCAGGGCCCGGCCTGGGCGGCGCGCCGCTGGGGCGCCATACTGCACGCGAGAGAAAGGGTGTACACCAACCACGCTGAGTACGTGGTGAAGGATGTCACCCGCAATGAAGCGAGTGACCTGTGAAAGGAAGCTCCGAAGAGCACTGCAAGAAAAGGCTCACTATAAGCCACCTCGAGACATGGCTTACTTGAGCCAAGATGGCTACGGAGAGGAGGAGGAGGAGGAGGAGGAGGAGGAGGAGGAGGAGGAGGAGGGGGGAGGATGCATGAATAGGGAAGAGGAAGAGGCAGGCAAGAGGAGGAACGAGGAGATCCGTCGATCAGGGCTCCATCAGGCTGCCGCGCAAACGATCGACAAGGCAGGCCGCCAGGACGGAAGCCAGACTGGGCGGGGGGAGGGCAAGCTGGTGGCGCTCACGCCACATGTGGCATCCTGTTCCCTCCCGCCTATCCTTTTTCCATCGTGCCGGTTGATTGTCTCTATCCGTCAACGGGTGTTGCGGGGGACCCAGAACACCCAAAAATACCCCATCGTGTCACGCGCCATCTGGCAAGGGGAGCCGTGCACACATATAGGAGGAGGAGGAGGAGGAGGAGGAGGAAGAGGAGGAGGGGAGGAGGAGGAGGAGGAGGAGGAGGAGGACGAGAAGGCAGATGTGCAGGGAGAGAAAGGGAAGGTCCTTCCGACTTCTGCTCTTCACGCAGCGAGGAGAGGTGGCGAGGAGGGGTGGCGATGAGGAGCGGCGAGGACGACAGAGCGAGGGCAAGAGGAGAGGAGAGGAGGTGGCGGATGAGAAGGGAGGGAGATGGGAGGACTCCCTCCTCACAATGCTCCCCCTGCTCTTTCCCAGGCGCGCGCTGCACCCATGACCACTCTGCGCCGTGAGGGCGCTCGCAGCTCCAGGTCGGACTTCCGGGTGCCGCAAAAGTGGTATTGCGGCGCTGCGTGGGCCGATGATCCTCAGAACGCGTGTTCGCGCCACTGTGGGTTTGGCCATCGAGAATATTCACTACGACGCAGGCGATGTAACGATCTACCTACTGGTGGTGCCGCACGGGGTGAATACACATTGGGCTAACACACGTCCTGAGGATCATCGAGTGGGGCCACCGAATCCTCGGACACCCGAGGGAGGGTGGGGGAGAGAACGCCCACGAAAGGCGGAGGGTGTGAGAAAACCGGCAGTCCTTCATCTGGCCGAAAATGGACAGATCGTAGGGCAAGAACTTGTAGAGCAGGAACGCCCTCATCCACCTGTCCATGACTCCGTCCCCCTCGAGACCGTCTGGTCATCCTCATCATGATCCTGCTCGTGCTCCGGCTCGTGCTCCTGCCCCTTTCAATCCCCTGCTCCCTCCTCCTCCTCTTCCTCCTCCTCCTCCTCCTCCTCCGCATCCGCCTCTGCTGCTTTTCCCCTCGCCGCAGCCCCACTGTCTCCTCATCCTCGTCGACACTAGCTACATCATGAACACCGCTATCATCATCGCCATCGTCGTCATAAGCATTACCACCACCATCACCATCACAATCGCCGTCGTCATCGTAATCACCATCAGCATCGTCATCTTCATCATTATCAACATCATCATCATCCTCATCATCAGCAGCAGCATAATCATCATGAGCGTTGTCACCATCGATATCGTCAGCACCACCATCGTCAACGTCCATCAGCATCATCCTCAACATCATAATCATCCTCATAATCGTCACCAACATTAGCATCATCAGCAGCACCGTTACAGCGAATTACCACCACAATCATCATCCTCATCATCAATATCAACATCACCAGCACGATCACCATCACTGACCATCACAATCACCATCCTCATCCTAGCCCTGATCATCAACACTACCCTTATTCGTACTCACCGACATCATCACAGTTGTCGTCGCTGTGGTCATCGTCATCACAATCAGCATCATCAACATCATCATCAAATTCAGCATCATCGTCAGCAACATCACCACCATATCAGTGCCTTCTTCGCCGTCATCGCCACCAGCATCATCAGCAGCGCCCGTGTCATCATCAGCATAAGCATCAGCATCATCAGCATCACCATGATCCTCCTCATCATCATCATCATAAGTATGATCATCATCATCATCACCACCACTACCATCATCTTCATCATCATCATCATACTTAGACTCAGCATCATCAGCATGATCATCATGATTACCACCGTCATCAACATCAACATCGCCATCATCATCACCAGCAGCAACATCAGTTGCAGCAACTGCAGCAACTGCATCGACATAATTCCTCCTCCTCCTCATATTTCTCCTCTCAGTCCTAGTCGCCCTCCTATTCGTGCTATTCCTGCATCGTTCCACTATTCCCTGTCCCCTCCTCCGCCACCTCGTCTTACAGCTCGTCTCATGGACTGCCTCAGTCCCGCCCCCGCGCCCCACCCTCCGCTCCCAAATTTCCCCCCCCCCCCCCACCACCACCCTCCCATTCTCCCCCACCTCCTGTTCAACCCTCTCCCTGCCCCCTTCCTGCCCCCCCCTCACTCCTTCACCCCCTCCCCGTATCCCCCCTCCTCCCCCTCCAGCTGCTCATCCCCCCCCCCTCCCCCCCCCATTCTCCCCCTCTCCCCCCTCCTCCCCCTCCGACTATCCTCATCCATCATGCCCGCGTGCAAGCCACCTTGATCCAGGCGGGGCGGTCCCCTGAGTCCCCGCTAGTGCGGCCCAGGCCGCTGGCCGACGGCACGATTGGTGCTTGGCTTTTCCCGAGTTTCGGCGATGACCAGTTCAGCTCGGCCGTCCTGGCTCACTTCGAGGAGATGCTCGATGCCTTCTCGGATGAGTGTGCATTCCTCTCCAGTGGCGGCAAGCTGCTGGACACGAAGCTGAGGACCTTGCGGGAAATGCTGACATGACCAAACTCAACATGGAACTGTCCAGAATGGCGAAGCAAGTGGCATTCGACGACTGTCCCGCGAAACGTGCCGTCATCGCGGGCGGGCAGCGGACTCGTGAGCGGCAGAATGTCGCAAGCTACGCCTGCCCGCCTTGCCCTAGACGTCGCAGGAGCCCCGCGACCCTGGACCAGAGTTATGTTGCGCCCATCGTACTTAAAGACCTAATCGCAGAAATAATTTCGAGCACCCGGGAAAGTGTCGAAAGAGTGTCGAAAGAGTGTCGAAAGAGTGTCGAAACAGTGTCGGACGAGCGTCTCCCAGGGCCCGATGCGCGAAAACCCTAGGGAGTTTCGGTACATGTTCTGGTGCTCGAAATTCTTTCTGGTGATCGAGGCAAAAGTAGGTTGGGACATCATAAGACCAGAGGGCCTGGAAGTGCTCTACCAACTCCGGGCACGCAGACTTCGCCAAGACTGGTTTGTTGGCTCCCCGAGCAGTGGGCCAACCTGGAGGCCCAGCCTGGCCCGTGGCTTCGGAGGGGGGGCCCAAGTGCGCCCACGGTGCCCAAGCTTGTGGAGACGCCAGAGGCGTGCAGGCAGGCTCGTTTGGGTGCTGGTAGGGTCTGTGGCCTCTGTTCTGATCCTGGAACGCCGCCCGATTGTCATGGTTGGAGGCGGCTCTGGGTGCGAGTTCTCTGCGGACCCACGGAGAAGGAGATGCTGCTCGGCGGTCGCGGTTCCGAGACAAAATCCCTCGTCGCCTGGTGCCCGGGTCCCTCAATGCGGAGTTGCGCAAATTCTCTCTGGGCGTAGGCAGACCGTTCCCCGTGCTGAAATCCAGGCGTTCTGCCTGGCCCTGGAGAATTCGACTGGACCGATGTGTTACGTTACCGACTGCAGAAGCTTAGTTACTGCCTGGCATGCCGGCCGTGCGAAGTTTCCTGGGGGCCCCAACGGTGATGTGTGGGTTCGTGCCTTGAAGGCACTGCTTGAGCGGGGCCCTGCAAAGGTTCTTTGCTCTGGGCTGCGTCCCACAGAGAGGATGACATGCAGTCGTTAATCACTGAGTTGGATGTGCTGCTCTGCCAGGACAGTGCCAGTGCCGACGTCTGGGCGGGGGTCGCGGCCCAGTGGGCCTGGGAGGGTGCGTGTATTCCCACCCCCTCGACGGACCCGTGGGACACGACGGCGGCGCTGGCGCGTCGCAGAACCAAGCGTGCTTTACTGTTGTCGTTGGAAGTTGAGCCGTGGATCGGTCTGAGAGCCCCCTCGGTCAAACGGCCTCGACCCAAATGCTTCAATTCCGCTCTCCAGTCCAGCCAGCATCGGTTTCTCCCTTTGCTGGACGTTGGAGGTGCGAGTGTTGCAGGATCATTATTCCAAGGTGCAATGTTTTGAAGGCCGCCTCCACCCAGTGCGTGGTTCCTCGCTCGGTCGCGTGCGTGCAGGACTTGTCTGAACTTCGGTCCCTGCCTCCCGAGTATGGCGAGGATTTCGAGGCGGTCGAGGGCGAGGTGTCGGTCGGAGGTGCGCTGCTCCACCCATCGCACGCCCTCGCCATAATGAATTCCTTTGGACTGGTTGTTCTGTATGCGATCTGGCTTCGCTGCGTCGGCTGACGGCAGGAGGCTCACCAGTGACCGCTCCCCCCCCCCCGACCAAGAAGGGGGGGGGAAACTTGTGCAGAATTCAGCGAGGCATGTTCCCGTCCTATCGTGGACCGCCGAGGGCAACTTTGGCCGCCGTGGCGTGCGATGCTGTCCAACGTGCTTCGGCTGAGGAGGCCCCTGAGGTCGAGCCTTCGCCGTCCAAACTGTCCCTGGCCGTGCCCTTTCCTGTGTCTGCATACCTGCGCTGCTCGGCCGACCGGCACCCGCTCGACGTGGCTGGCCGCACGACGGTCGGCGGCGAGGACTCACCGCCGCCTGGTGTTGCTGCCGCCGCTGCCGCCGGCAATGTGTGCAGCGGTGGAGGGCAGCTGCAGCAGCAGCAGCAGCAGCAGCAGCAGCTGCACCAGGTTGTGCGCACGCATGTTGACAGCAGTGGGGACAGTGACTGAAGGTAGTTCGGTCACGTGCGTGGCAAGGCAGCAGAATTCAGCAGAATACATCATGCCCGCACCTTGCGCCCGCCTCCTGCGCAGCAGGACGCGAGGCGTGCCCGCGGCTTGAGGGGCACACCTGCGAGGTGCGGCAGAACTGAACTCGAAACAGACGACGTAAGTTACATGGCTTGCAAGAACCCCCCTTGGCGAGGAGGTCTCGAAGCAAGCCGAGCGCGTGCCAGCTCCAGGACGAATAAACATGGCCACGAAGGGCGGCGGCGATATCTGGTTTCGCCAGACTGCGCTGGTGGTACAAGCTGGATCTTCGGCGATGGCATCAAGTGCGCGGGCTGGCGTGGCAGACAGCTGCAGGCAGAGGGTGCCGACCAGGCAGTGTTGCACCGCCAGACGGCAAACTTGACGAGCAATCCGAAACACGCGAAGACAAAGGCGCACGAAGATAAAGGCACCTGGAGGAGGAGGAGGAGGAGGAGGAGGAGGAGGAGGAGGAGGACATGCGCAGCCCTGGAGACGGCAGCGCAGAAGCTACGGCAGATCCTAGAACAAGCAAAGACGCCATGCACATAAACCGTTGGCGCTCCGCGCGGATTTCTGGGAGGGGCGCCGAACGCTTGTGTTTGTGTTGATTTCTCTTCTGCGATACACCACAGCCCACGCCACGCGCAGCCCTGGAGACGGCAGCGCAGGAGCTGCGGCAGAACCGGGCGACGGGCGGCAGGCCCTGGAGCCGACTCTGGCGCCACGCGGAGGAGCAGCACCAGATCCTCGAGACGGGGGCCGCCGGTGCGGAGGCAGAGGCGCGAGCACGCGGCAGGGGGTGGATCTGCAGAGGAGGCCAGTCCAGAAGAAGCCCAACCCTGAGACCCCAGGACGTCCACTGATTTTTGGTGTGGGAACGTCACGCTCTCCATGGCAAGACAATCGACACCCAAGACACCTAGGGCACCCTGGACGCAGGCAGGGTATTGCTTGGCATGGGTCTCCGCTGTATGGGCGGTGGCGGCGGGCGTCAAACAAGAAGCTAAAGGTCACGGTCAACAACTACCAGAAGAGGACTTCCCAGAGCTAGTTTCAGAGGACCTTGCCCTGTCTGGCACGAGCGAGAAGGAGCGGTGCCAAAGGGCAAGAGAAGAAGCTCAGCAACCGACACTGACGCTGGAAGCAGCCAGAGAGGCAACCATGCAGTGGAAGCTGGCGCAAGAGAGGCTCAACGGCATCCACGCGACGAGGACGGCGAAGAAGCGCAGGGCTCAGGATGGTGCAGGGCGCAGGGCAGCAGGTGATAGATCCAAACCTGCGGAACTGGACGCTGGTGAGATAAGTACCCCGTGGAGGCTGCGACCTCACCAACGAAGAGAACGTCAAACAAGATCTGGAGCAGACCAAGCGTGTCAGCGAGCGGAGGCGAACGGCATGCCCAGCAGGCGCGGCCGCACCCACTCCTGATTCCGAGCCAGCTGCAGCGGCGAGCCAGGGGTCTAGTGGGTAGCTAGGCTCGGTTACAGGATCCAGGATGCGAAGTGGCACATCATGAAGGTGACACATCGGCATGTGGTACGGGGAAGCTGGGAAGAGCATTCGTCGCGAATATCATGCAATACAACACGTCAGCTCGCCAATACATCATGAGCTACAAGAATGGCATAACGGATCTTATCGAGCACCGCTACGGCAAGGCGAAGGCAGCGGCGGAATCCCGGAGGCATCAGCAGCAAGGCTGGGCATCCCAGCACACGTTGACAGCGTTTACCAGAACGGTGCGTTCAGATGAACAACACTCATGGTGGAGCTTGCTGGCTTCGACGACCGCGTCCCCAAGCAGCCGTTCATCTACGAACGGTTCGAGGAGTCAAGGCTTTCGCGCGCGAACTCTGAAATATTGTAGTGGACCATTGGGATCTTCTGGGGGAATGCACGTTACCCTGCTTGTGGTTTCGGTCGTCGTCGTCGTTCGTCGCCTTCGCCGCCGTCGCCGCTTCGTCGCCGCCGCCTTCGGCCGCGGGGGGGGCGGGGATGGCCGACGGCCTCGGCGAGCAGCAGGTGGGTGCCGTCTCAGCCCCGAGCTGGCCGAGCTCCTCGGGGTTGGCGCAGCGGCCGGGGATCGGACGAGAAGCATGCCCGCATCCACGGCCTGGCGGGCTGGACCCCAGGCCTCGACCCCACGGATACGGGGCGTTGCTTCGCACATGCCCAGCGCAGAACGCATCCGTGCGACCGCGTATCCGAGGGATCGCGCACTGGAATCCAGACCGCGAGGGCGTGGATGTGGGTACGTTCGCCGCTCGTGTTGCGGGAGCAGGTTGGGGGGGCCCAGCCCTCTAGCTCTGAGGAAGCAACTCCTGGGAGGTATTCGCAAAAATGATCAAGGCATACCAAACCGATTGAGAGGCCATCACCCCGCATGAAGCGCGGGATGAAACCGGGATTCAACCCGCGATTCAGCGGGACGAGGTGGGATGAACCGGGACTGTGCCAGAGTAAGTCTGTTTTCGACCACGGATATACCAGCGCCGACGCTGAGGTACAGTCAACCCATATCGCAAGGATGCGCGATAAGGATGCAAGGGCCTTGGCAGGCCACGTGGGCGTCCGTCGAGCGCGGCTGACCAGCGAAAGTGGCTTCGGGTGCAAGGGTACCATTGGGAAGGCTGTGCCCATCCTTACGATGCAGGTTCACTGTAATCCTCCAGGAGTTGCATCTTAACAGCTCGTGGTCCTCCCCGCCTCCCTTTCCTCGCCCCGCCTCGCGCCTCCTACCACGGCCGCCGCTTCTGTTCCTCCACAGTGAAAGCCGGCACCACGGCAACACCCGGCGAAAATGCGACCACGGCTCTGCAACGGCAAGGTACGTATGTCACGGAATGCCAGTCGGAGGGATCGCGCGCGTCAAGAGTCAGTGTACAAGAGAGAATGGCACGCTCCATCGTCACTCCTGCTCCTTCTCATGCTGCTGCCTCTCGCGCGCCGCATGCTCCTCCCGACCACAAAACGCCACGGCCAGCATCATGATCAGCACCGCCATCGCCATCAGCATCGTCATCGCAAGCATCACCGTCAACAACATCATCGGCATCACTGACACCTGCCACCTGCCAAACCTAGGAGTTACCACTTCATCGCCATCATCGATACACTGTCATTGTCTTCGCCCTCGTCTTCACCACCACCACCATCATCAACAGCCGCAGCACCAGCAGTAGAAGCAGACACAGCAGCAACATCCTCCTCCCCCTTCCCACCCAGGCGTGACGGGCCGAGCCGCCCCGGCGGCCTACGAGGGGTGCGAAGGGGGGGGGCGGGGCGGCTCATCGATGTCCGTGATCCGCTTGCCTCTCACCTGGGCACCGACATCTGCTGTGCTGCTGTCCCTCTCCTCCTATTCCTTAGCGCCCTCCTCCACTCCGTATGCCACCAACACCACACCATCTCATCTGCTTCTTCCTCCTCCTTCACAGCCCATGCATCCTCACCATCGTTCCTTCGTCCTCGTCGTCCTCCTCCTCGTGCTCCTCCTCCACCTCCTCCTGCCTTCGAGAAGAAGAGGCACGGGGAAGGGAGAACAAGAGCGACGAGGGTGACGGGCTGGGCCAGGGCAAGGGTGAGCGGGGGAGGGAGGGCAAGGGGTGGATGAAGGGAGGGAGGGGGAGGAGAAGACGGGGTGGAGGGCAGGGGGGGGGAGAGGAGGAGGAGGAGGAGGAGGAGGAAGAGGAGGAGGAGGAGGGGAAGGAGGAGAAAGAGGGCCAGTGTGAACACAAGACGCAACAACTATATGTTTGGAAAAACCATCCCTCCACGTTTCAACTTCACAGGTCATAAACCAATGTATAGTCATTGCTGGAAGTAGCCAATTAGAAGACACCGTCGAAGATTTTTGCTTGGTGCCAGAGGCACCGTTCCTGGGACTTCAGCGCCGCGGATCAGCATGACCGTTGCGCCCTGACAATCTTTCATCGCGCCAGAACACCATTCCTGGAATTACAACAAAGTGAATCAACGTGACCGGTGCGTCCTGAAATTCCTGAATCGTGCAAGAGCACCATTCCTAGGACTTCAAAATGAACACCCTTGAAACTGCTGCAAATGATTACGACGAGTGTGCGTGGCGCTGAGGCGAGAGCCACAATCTGCAACCTGCAACAGAACCGTCCTTCAATCCTTGAACATGTTACAGCCTTTTTAGACGAATGGGCGCGGCGCCAACGAGAAAGCCACATGCGGCACACCACCCACCCTCCATCCGTGAGATGCTTCCAAGCTGTTATTTGTTATTACGATCCGTGAAGCTGCTGCGAGCGCCTGGTTAGGACGAGTGTGCGCGGCACGATGGCGAGAACCACGTTTTGAGAAGGCCCCGCCCTCCATCCGTGGGACTGTGACCGACGGTGACCTTCCCGGTCATGGACGGCGAAGATCTCTCAAGCGACCCGCCCGGCCCGCCCTACCGACATGTCTGGGGGAGCGACAGGGAAAAATGAGTCATACAGTCGGACCTCGGACACTCGGACCTTCGGAAGGGAAACAGTGCCCCTACCGCCACCCGTCATCCGTTTTCCCCTTTTTGGGCCTACTTGGAGGCTGGATTCGGCTCGAAATCCTCGTCAGAACGCACCCCGGGAGCAGTCGGGGGGGTAGCGGCGTAGCGGTATTGGTACCTTTTGGTTTCCCCAGACCTAGGCCAGAAAAATATCCATCAAAAAGACGAGACCCTTCGCCGGCCGGAACGAAGAGCATCCGAGGGTGCCCTCCCCCAGGATGCAAAAGAACATGCAAGAAGCATGAAAAGCATTAGGGTACCCTCGCAAACCAACCTCGAGTTCAGACCTCGGTCCGACTGTAAGGAGAAGAGATGGAGGAGGAGGAGGAGGAGGAGGAGGAGGAGGAGCAGCAGGAGGAGCAGGAGCAGGAGGAGGAGCAGAAGCGGGGGGTCGACGGAGCGGGGGGAAGGGGAGGGGGAGACGAGGGGGGGCGGGGCAGGAGAAGGGGGAGGGCAGGGAAAGGGGCCGACGGGGGGGGGGGGGAAGAGGCTGGGCAAGGCAGGGGGCGGGCGATGGAGATCGAAAAGGGGCTGGGTATAGAAGCTGCGGCGCGAGCCAGGGCTCCGAGGCCGGGGGGGCGCCCAGGAGGCCGCCATGATGCCTCCAGCGAAGCTCCCCCCCGCCTTCTCACAGGCCGCTCCCCTCGCACCGCGCCCCCCTTGCGCGCGCCGCCGAGAGTCTGGGGAGGCGCGGGGAGGGTGGGAAAACGAGGCACGGGCGCCACTATTTGTAGGTCGGGCGTGTCCTCCTGCAGGCGGATTGTTGGAGGAAGAATGGTGGATAGTCAAAACATGCCAGTAGATAGAGACATCGACCCCAGACTACTGTCGATGTTTGAATACTCCTCCTGCTGAGGGGGAATGCCCGACTTAACACTACTTCCCAAACCTCCAGTCGACGGCGTGGTTCGCTCGCGGCAGACATACAGTCATTGATAGAGTAAGGATGCCCGATGAGAAAGCAAGGTTTCGAGCGGGACTGGCCATCAGAAAAAGGGTCAAGGATGTGCCGAGGAGGCAAGGATGCAAAGGTACCCTTTGGAAGGTTGCCCATCCTTACGAACTATGAATGTTGACGATATTCCGCTCACCACCCCATCCTCCTCACCTTTCCCGGACCGTCGATTCCTCCTCCCCCTCCTCCATTCGGCGGCAAGCCCCTGGGGCAAGCGAGAAGGACAAGGCCCTGTCAAAAAGGCTCGGAAGTACCACGGCCTTCTGAGCAGTTGCCGGAGTCTTCCCCGAAGACGCAGAACACCTCTCAGAACGCGCGATGGGGATACTCTGAGAAGTCCCGACGCCTTCAGAGAGGGCCTCCTACTTCTCTCTTCCATCCCCACGAGCGCCGCGCAGCCGAAGTCGGTCCACAGACCCCTCCCGGGGTCCATCCGACGCGGTGTTCCTCGCCCTGGATCGAGCTTCGGGGGCCCCCGGGGGCCCGAACACGGCCCCCCGAGGCCGACGACGATGGAACACCGCCTCGAACCTCGAGCCTCGAAAGTCGAACCTCGAGGTTCTCCCCCCTCGCTCCCCTAAGGGCCGGGCGAAAGGGGGGGATAGCAAAGGGGGGGTTGAGAATCAGCTCGCGTAGCTGATTTTCCCGGCGCCTCCCGGCGCCGGGAGGCGACCGTGCATCGAAGAATGGGGCCCCTCGGCGGGGCCGAAACCAGCTGCATGCAGCAGATTTCGCACCCCCCCCTTTCCCAGCGCCCCCCGTTCGCCCGGCCCGATCCCCGCCGATCCCCCCCTCTGCCTCGTGACTCGCCCCCTCCGCGCCAGCCCACCAGCAGGCAGCCTGGGCAGGGCAGAGCGGGCGCCCCCGCCCCCGAGGCCTCCCCCGCCGCGCGGCCGGCCCCGAGGCGCACCCTGGGCCCAGCGGGCGTAGACAGGCCGACCGCTGCGCGCGTCTTTCTCGGCGGTGGACAAACCTCCCCTTTAGTAGACCTCCCCTTAGCGAAAGCGGCCCGGGACCGAAACCGACGGACCCGAGCCTTTTTCACCTTCTTGCTACAGGCCAGTCGCAAGCAGCTATGGCCGAGTTCACCCTCCTCTGGGGTGGCCAGGCGGGCCTCGGCGTGCCGTGCGGGAGCCGAGGGCAGCGCCCGCGAGGCGAGTGGCCCCTCCCAGGCCCACAGCATGCCGCCCGAGGACGGTCGTGGGCCAGGACGTGACGGCCGCGGCGCCCTCTCGCGAACCGAAAACGGCCAATTCCTTAATCGACCGTTCAGCGTAGGAGGGCTATCCGCCTCCGACTTTCTGATAAGCAATAGCGGTGCCCCAGATCCCCTGGGAGAGGGTTTACGTTAGGACGGCCGAAAACAGCCCCGGGAGGCCGAAAACGGTGAACACCGGCCTCTCAGATTCCCGACGTCATCGACCCCCAGAATTCTCGACCCATGCCCCGGGACCAGATTCTCATCAAGTCAAGTCAAGTACGCCTTGCACCAGACGGTGCGTGAACAGGGGTGAAACGTATAGGAAATAATCACCAAATGCAGCCAGAATGCCTTCAGCTTCCGGCCCACGCCTTCACCGCGCGCTCCCACGCTCTAACTCGAGCTGCACCACCGTCTCGGTGGAAGTAGGCAGCGAGTCGCTCGCGGGAGCTGGCAACCTTGACACAACTATTCCAAACTAGATGGCCCCATGTTTGCCTCGGTCTGCCCCGCTTTCTCGGGCCGGCGACCCTACGCAGCACCATGGTGCCTGGTTCAAACACCGAGCGTCGCACAGGGTCTTGGCCAGCTCGGCGCGCTAATTGGCCCATGAATATCATCTGCCGTCTCGCGAGGTCGTCGCTGAACTTCTTCTGGCCAGCGATCCCAAGCACGGTGGCGTTCGACACTCTACTGATGTATGCCGGAGGCACTCTGCAAATCTTTCTGATACAGCAATTTTGGAAGCCGTCCAAACGCCGACGTTCGGCCTGGTTTAGACACGCCGTGAAGAGGGCGTACATTAATTTAGATACAACGCACACGTTGAAGATGTGGAGCTTCTGATTCCTCGTCAACGAAGCGTAAGACCAAATCGTGTGTAGTACTCTGAAGTCTTGCATAGCTGCTCCGATTCTGCGTTTTCTGACGGCCCCGAGGCCCGACGAGGGCCCCTGGAGGCCGATGCAATCTAGAAAAACCTTCCGCCATGATTTTTTCCTGACCGGAGGAGGCCTCGGCTCGAGTCTCGAGCCTCATCGGCTGGCCCGCCAGCAGACGGCCCCCGCGCAGGGCGGGACGGGCGCCTCGCCCCCGAGGCCTCCCCCGCGGGCGATGGCCGTCCGCGGCGGCGCACCTGTGTCCAGCAGGCGTGCGCACTCATCGCCCTCGTCCTCGTCCTCGTCCTCGTCCTCGTCCTCGTCCTCGTCGTCGTCGTCGTCGTCGTCCTCGTCCTCGTCCTCGTCCTCGTCCTCGTCCTCCTCGTCGCCGTCGTCGTCGTCGTTGTCATCGCCGAACTTCCCCCCCCACGCAAAGGCCACCAGCAGACGGCCCCTGGCAGGGCAAGGTGGGCGCCCTGCCCGCGAGGCCCCCTCCGCCAGCGAGGGCCGGCCCCGGCTGCGCACAAGGTGTCCAGCAGGCGTGCAATCGGACCGGCCGATGCGCACATGCTGTGATATGGGACGCACCGGAACAGTCGACGCTAATCGACGCTAGATCGACGCGAATCTACAGTGTCGACGCTAATTCGGCGCTATCTCATCGACTCCCAGACGCTAATCGACGCTAAAGGCGGAATTGAGAGGGTACACGAGGCTCCCATGACATGTTACCGAGGGAATCCGTCCACACCGAATCCCCCCCACCCACGGGCAAGTACTCGGCCAAGCCCCAGGAGGATGCCGCCGAGAGCCGAGAACTCCGCCAGCGCCAGCTGCATGGTAAGGATTGGCAAATTTCCTAAGGGTACCCTTGCTTCCCTGCCTCCCCACTCCATCCTTGGCCACTTTCGCTGGCCGCGTCCCGCTCGAAGAGCATCGGAATTACCTTCCAAGGCCCTTGCATCCTTATCGCGGATCCTTATGATACGGGCCGACTGTAGTACTAGAGGCCTCCTAGATGGGGTCCGAGTAGATGGGATCGGAGGATCGCGCCGCATCGGCGATGCATCGGCGATACATCGGCGATGCATCGGCGATGCATCGGCGATACATCGGCGATGCATCGGCGATGCATCGGCGATGCATCGGCGGTGCAATGGGGACGTCGGCGCTGCATCGGCGACGTCGACGTGTAGAACATCGGTCTCCACATCGAGCCGCATCGGCGATACATTGGCGATGCGGCGCAATGCTCTGACCCCATCTACTCCGACCCCAACTAGGAGGCGTAGAAGTACTACGGCAGGAGCTCGACCACAAGAAACCTTCCACAAGAAAACCAATCCTGAGACCCTAGGGCGGCCCTTTTATCTATGGTGTGGGAACGTCACGCTTTCCATAGCAGAACCATCGAAACCCCAGAAAACCAGGGCACCTTGGAGGCAAGCAGGGTGTTTCGTGGCATGGGTTTCCACTGCATATGTCCTCCTTGGAGGCGAGCGTCCGACCCGAGCATCTAGTATATCCATACTAGAACCACGCGCGCGCTTCGCGCGCGCTTAGGTTCTAGCTAGGAGGCGAGCTTGAGCCAACGAAAGTCGCAGGGAAGGGGGCAGGGGGAACAAGGCCAGAGAGCGCTGAAGGATACAAATACTGGAACCCTCTTGTGATTTTGTGGGGGGCCTCGTCCGGCCGCTCGCTGGGAGTTTGACGTAGCTTCTCGGGAGCCTCTGAACCTGTCGGGGGCCTCCTGGAAGCAGGTTCGAAGCATTTTGGGGGCCGATTTGGGGCTTCTCGGGGCCTCCTTTGGGCCTCTTGGGGGTCTCCTGGGGCCTCTTGAGGGGCCTCCTTGGGGCCTCCTGGCGGCCTCTTGGGGCGGAAGGCTCGAGCTTGCGGTTCGTGGTCCCCCTCTGGGCCCCCTCTTGGGCCCGTCTTGGGGCCCTCTTGGGCCATCTTGGGCGCCTCTTGGGCCGTCTTGGGGCCCTCTTGGGCTGTCCTGGGGCCCTCTTGGAAGCTTCTTGGGCCGTCTTGGGGCGGTCTTGGAGGCCTCTTGGGCCGTCTTGGACGCGGTGAAAGCCCAAGATGCGAACATGCGAAAAATATACGTTTTCCCATGGGAATGGCACGATTTTTGTTTCTTGGACCTCTCTTGGGGTGCCTCTCGGAACGTCTTGGGCTGATTTTGGAAGCCTTTTGGCGCCTCTGGGCGGCGTTTTGGCGCCTCCTGGGATATGTTGGGCCGGAAGCTCGGAATTCGAGAGTGGCTTTCTCCTTCTGGGACCCCTCTCGAAGTCGTCTTGGGGTTCTCTTGGGCCGTCTTGGGGCCGTCCTGAGCCACTCGTGCGCAGCCTTGGAGCGCTCCCGGAGGCCTCCTAGGCCGTCTTGGAGGCCTCTTGGGCCGTCTTGGACGCGGTGAAAGCCCAAGAGGCGAACATGCGAAAAATATACGTTTTCCCATAGGAATGGCACGATTTTTGCTTCTTGGGCCTCTCTTGGGCTGCCTCTCGGAGCGTCTTGGAGGCTTCTGGGACCTTCTTGGTGTCATGGCAGGCGTCTTGGAAGGCATCTGGAGCCATCGGAGCGCGTTCCGAAGCCGCCTGCGAACGATCTTGGACGGCGTCTGGCGGTCCGACGAGCCTCCGGGCCCCCCGGGGCCCACATTTGTGGTCGAGGTCCCGGCCCCGGGCCCCCGGACCCGGTGCGCCGTTATATGTATATTGTATCATAGCGTTTCCTGAGCGGCGTGGCCAGAAAGCGCCGGCCACGACGCATTTGCTATAAGATTTCTCGGTGCGCGCGTCGCCCCTGGGGGGGACACGAACACATAGTATTAGTATGTCGGGGTGGCGCCGCTGGTAAGCAACAAATGACGACAGTCGGACCCAGGCCACAATCACATCCCTGAAGAACAAGAGACCCTCCGCTGGCGAGCACGCACATAACATCCAAGGGTACCCTCCCCAGAATGCACAAGAACAACCAATAAACACGAAGACCACTAGGGTACCCTCCCCGAACCGACCTCGATCTTATACCTCGTTCCGACTCTACAGCAACCACCCCACCCTAACCGTAAGACCCACACTCTGTTTTTTTGGGGGGGGGGCACGGGTTCCACATGTGTTTTTGCAACGTTCCCCGACGCCCCACCCCACTGGAAATGTAGGGAACATGAGGGCCTTCGGGAGAGGACCCAAATTAGGAGGGTCGCAAGTGATGATGAACCTCGTGGTGAATACAGGTATCCCTAATCCTTTGGGAGAGGACCCAAGTCAGGAGGGCCTCAGAGATTGGGGATAGGGCCAGGGATGTGCTGTTGGCAGATGTCTCGGACGAAGCCGCCCACATGTCGAGGGATAGCCCCAAACACCGAGGACCCAAGTCAGGCCACGAACTCGTGGTGATTAAGGTTATGGGGAAACCAAATCGGGTGTCGCTAGAAGTGCCCCTGGCCCAAGGTACCCCCAGCTTTTCGCTCCATTTTTGGACCCCTGGGGCCCTCTGAGCCTCGTTAGGGGTGCTCTGGAGGCCGTCTGGGCCACCCCGAGAATCCTGGGGGCACCTTGGGCCAAGGGTACGTCGAGCAACACCCGACCAAAAAATACCGAGACCGTTGCTCCCCGGACCTCTCCTGGGGTGCGTTCCGACAAGGATTTCGAGGCGAATCCAGCGGTGCCGACGAGGGCCCTCCAGGAGGCCCAACAGTGGAAAAACGAGGCAAGGGTAGAGGTAGGGGTACGTGTTTCCTTTAGAGGAAAAAGAACTATGCACATACACCGATTCTGACCAGGCCCATCCTGAGCCCAGGATCGGTGCATACGCCCTCCTACCTTGGCCAGGAAGGCATATGCACCGATCCTGGGTCAAGGATGGGCCTTGCCAGGATCGGTGCATGTGCATAGTTCTCTTTGCCCGATCTTTCTCGTAAGCTAGGGGCTGTATTCTACCAGACGGTGTTGCGGAGGGCGGCCCCGTGTTCAAAGCGTGGCTCTCGCCCCGCTGCGCCCCGCAGCTTCGCCGTGCAGAGGGGATCCCACGACTGCAGCAGGTCCGTGTTGTGCCGACTTCGGCGTTGGTTTCTGACACCGCGGGGATCGTTCAACCTTGAACGATCGGCCGTCTCCGCAACGTCCAAATGTTCAACATCGAACGATTCTGGGTCGCCCGCGGCGTTCAAAGTTGAACGGCGCTGGCGGGGTCGCCGCCAGTCGACACGAAGGGAACCTACCGTACAGCGATGGAAGGCGCCTGCTCTCTAACCGTGGCTCTCGCCGCAGCGCCGCGCACCTCCAGCTTTGAAGACGAACCGCCGGCTGCAGTCGTGGAGGGCGGCCCGTGAGAAACTTCTGGCCCTCGACTCGATCGGGAACGAGTGCGACTGCTGCGGAGCTGAAGGGAAGGGCGGCCCGTCCACAGAACGCGTCAACGCCGCGCAACCCTGTTCTCAACATGCTCCAACAGCTACTGAAACTGAGGGCGGCTCGTTCACTAAATGTTGCGCCCGTCGCATCGCCGTGCAAAGTCTCCTCAGAACAGTCCTCAGAAGAGCTCCCAACGCTATACATACGATTGGCGGCCCGTGTTCAAAGTGTGACGGTCGCCTCGGCGCCGCGCAACTTCGCCTCGAGAAGTTCCAGCAGCTACAGAGATAGTAGTGATCCCTTTTTCAAGATGTGCCTCACGCCCCAGTGCCGAGCACTCTCGCCTCGGACATGTCCGAGTTGAAGATGCGGATCTCTCACCAGCGCCACACACACTCGACCCCCCCAAAAAGGCTAAACATCTGCGAGTATGGAGGGCGACCCGTCACAATGAGAGGTCTCACCGAGGCTCCGCGCAACTTCGCCGTAGAACTGCGCCAACAGCTACACATACGGAGGGCGGCCGGATTTCAACATGCAGGTTTCGCCTCGATATCACGCAACTTCGTGCAACAAATACTTCAGAAGCTACAGTGATGCTGGGGGGGGGCTCCTTTCAAAATGTGGCTCTCAACAAGGCGACGCGCAACGTCTGACGTAAGATAAGATGAACAAGAGAGAGAGGGCGGCCCGCACTCTCGACTGACAATTTTCCAGCAGCTGCAGAACTGGAGGGCGGCCCGTTGTCAGAATGTGTCTCTCAGATCGCCTCCGCACAAGTTTGTCATAAAGCGTCCGACGCTCATGCAGATGGAGGGAAAAGGGCGACGCATGATTCAATATGACGTTCTCGCCAGGGCACCAGACATCGACAACTACTCAACAAATGCACGGATGGAGGGCATGTACGTTTTCAAAAGTGCATTATCACTTTGGCTTCTTTTACTATTGCACCCGGACGTTTCAATATGTGGAACACCTGCATGGATGGGGAGCGGCCCACTTTCGCAAGGGAGCTTTCGATACCTATGCATTGCGCAGCTCTCGATGGAAAACATGGCCCCTAGATCGCTCGTCTTTCAATGGCCGCTTCAAGCAGCCAAAAATAATGCGTGAAGGGACTTGCGAAGAGGGGACTTGGAATGGTAATGGGAAGGGGTGAATATTGAAGCATCGCGGATACATCCTGGCCTACCTCTTCTCTACACCCGTCACCACTTCCCTCACGTCCTCTATGGAGTTCTCCACGTACACCATGATGTCGTCCCACAGAAGGTCGATGCCTCCGGCAAGCTTCCTGCGAGGAGCTGCGCTCGGCTGACGCTGCGCGCAGAGACCCTTCGACGAGGATGCAGAACGACCAAAACATCGGGTGCGTGTCCGAGGTTGGCTGCGCAAGCAGTGCACTGGGAACGGTCCTTGCAACCGAAGACTTCGGGACGAGCCCGCCCAACAAAGACCCACAGAATTTCTGGTTCGCCATCGACAGCTGTCGACTGCCCGAGGGGTCCACAGAGGGGAGGATGACGAGGGGGGGGACGCGGATGTGCAAAATGAGCATGATAGGTGAAGGAGGGGGACACGAATAGCGACGTGGACCCATGACGAGTGGGTAAGGGGAGGAGGAGGGAGGATAACATGATAAGGAGCACGGAGGGAGGGAGAGGGAGATGAGAGACGGGGTGGGAAGCAAAAGGAGAGCATCCCCCTCCTCCTCCTCCCTAGGTATATCTCCCTCCCGGGGATTTGGGGGCACCCTCAGAACTCGTGTGGGGGGTTGAGGAGGGCTGAGGGCGAAAGGGAGGAGAACAGGTATATGAGAAGTAAGCCAGGAGTGGAGGAGGGGGACGGAGTGGGGGTGGGAGAACGGGGGGAAATGAGATGAAAGACCAAAGAAAGAGATGAGGCAGAGGTATCAAGGATACAGGCGGCCGGTATCAGAAGGATGCGCGGAAAGGATGCAAGGGCCTTGGAAGCCCATCTCGAAGCTTCTCCAGCGGGGCGCGGCCAATGGAAGTGGCCAAGGATGGCCAAGGAGGCAAGGATGCAAGGGTACCCTTTGGGAGGATTGCCCGTCCTTACTATGCGGGTCGACTGTACAGGCGGACGGTTGGGATGGGAAGGGAGAAGGCATGGGAAGATGAGGTGTAGAGGCAGGGATGGCAAAAGCGGGGGCGGAAAGGGATGGTGATGACAATGGGGGAAAAAGGGCCCGGGGGGAAGGCGAGGCGGAGCGGCAGCTGGCGTGAAGAGGGGGAGAAACGGGAGGTCGGAGGAGGAACGGGGGGGTTGTAACGGGCCATTGGGGCGGGGCCAGACGGAGAAAGAAAGAAAGAGGCTAGGACGACAGGGAGGCAGGATGGAAGAGAAACGAACGAGAAGGGAGGGAGAGAGGAGAAGGGGAGGGACGAAGCAGGGGGAAGTGTGGAAGAATGATCGAGGAGAGAGGAAGGCGATGAGAAACAAAGGGGCCGCAGGAGGAGAGGGGGGGGGGGGCAACGGAGGCGGGAAGAGGACAGAGAGAAGCCAGACGGGAGCTGAGGAAGAAGGCTCACGACGACAAGGAATGAGGAGACAGAGGGCAAGTCAGGGAGCAGCCACTGTCACGAAAAACGGGGAACCCCAAACTTGCCAGCACGGGCTTTGGACAGATTTCGACCACGGATATACCAGCGCCGAGACTGCCGTCAACCTGCAAACAAGTGCAACCCAATTCAATGGGTGAGGTAGCGCTATGGGCCTTTCCGAAAAGCTGCTGCAACTAACGTACACGTCTATACGAATCCAGAAACGGAGTGCGAACGGCAGCCGCTACAGCAAGAGCAGGATTACAAGTCTGAGCGGCGGGAGCGGGAATGACGGAGCGCGAGCGGGGGAACACTGACAATTGGGAGACCGAGGCCCAACCTCCTCCCTTCCTCGCCTCCCGCTATGTATCTGTTCGGTGTTCGGAACCGAGCGGCAGGACAACGTCGGCGGCGACGATAAAAGGGGCGAATCGCCCAGTGGCGGGCATTACACGCATTCGCCCGAGAGCCTTGTCGAAAACACAAATCATCGGTTTAGGGTTTAGGGTTTAGGGTTTAGGGTTATGTATTGCTCTGCCCGGGGGCACTTCGCCCCTGCTGTCGCCTCCGAAGAGGAGCGGCGTCCCACCCCAAGCGCGGCGCGCGGCCTCTTGAGGCACACCGGCATGTCTTTGTCCGCGAGCGCTGCGCCTGCCGAGCGGTCGCGCGGTGCCGCTGGCACACAGGCGTCGATAAGCATGCTCCTCCCCCCGCGGATTTTTCAAGGGGCCCAACGAGGCAGAAATAGATACACACACAAATCCCAGGATTCCCCATAATTATTTCTGTGTCCCAACCGTCCTGTGGTGTTGGGTCCTCGTTTGGAAGAGGCAGCGCCCCGCGTTCACTCCTCCTCCCTCTGCCCCCTCCCTCCTCCCTCCTCCCCCTCCTTGCCCCTGCTCTCGGCACACCCTCACACGCTTCGCAGCCCCATTGGGAGCCCCACCGAAGGTCACAGTGAAGGGGGGCGCATGCGGTTCCCACACCCAAGGCAACGTTTCGTGGCCACATAGGGAGCCCCACCGAAGGTCCCAGTGAGGGGGGGGCGCATGCGGTTCCCACACCCAGGGCGGCGCTTCGTGGCCCCATAGGGAGCTCCACCAAAGGTCCCAGTGATGGGGGGGGGCGCATGCGGTTCCCACACCCAGGGCGGCGCTTCGTGGCCCCATAGGGAGCTCCACCAAAGGTCCCAGTGATGGGGGGCGCATGCGGTTCCCCCACGCAAGGCAGCGCTTCGTGGCCCCATAGGGAGCTCCACCGAAGGTCCCAGTGAGGGGGGGCGCATGCGGTTCCCACACCCAGGGCAGCGCTTCGTGGCCCCATAGGGAGTCCCACCGACGGTCCCAGTGAGGGGGGGGCGCATGCGGTTCCCACACCCAGGGCAGCGGTTCGTGGCCCCATAGGGAGCCCCACCGAAGGTCCCAGTGAGGGGGCGCATGCGGTTCCCACACCCAGGGCGGCGCTTCGTGGCCCCATAGGGAGCCCCACCGAAGGTCCCAGTGGGGGTGGGCGCATGCGGTTCCCCCGCCCAGGGCAGCGTTTCTTGGCCCCACACGGGGCTCCACCGAAGGCCGGGCGCATGCGGTTCCCCCACCCAGGGCAGCGCTCAGTGGCCCCATAGGGAGCTCCACCAAAAGGCCCCAGTGGGGGGGGCGCATGCGGTTCCCCCACCCAGGGCAGAGTTTCGTGGCCCCATAGGGAGCTCCACCGAAGGTCCCAGTGATGGGGGGCGCATGCGGTTCCCCCACGCAAGGCAGCGCTTCGTGGCCCCATAGGGAGCTCCACCGAAGGTCCCAGTGAGGGGGGGCGCATGCGGTTCCCACACCCAGGGCGGCGCTTCGTGGCCCCATAAGGAGCCCCACCGAAGGCCACATTGGGGCTGCTCTCGCATGCGGTGCCCCCACCCAGGGCAGCGCTTCGTAGCCCCATAGGGAGCTCCACCGAAAGCCCCAGTGGGGGTGCCCGCATGCGTCTCCCTCGCCCAGGGCAGCGCTTCGTGGCCCCATCGGGGGCTCCACCGAAGGCCCCAGTGGGGGTGCCCGCATGCGGTTCCCCCGCCCAGGGCAGCGCTTCGTAGCTCCATGGGGACCTCCACCGAAGGGCCCAGTGGGGGTGCCCGCATGCTGTTTGCCCACCCAAGGCAGCGAGCGCTTCGTGGCCCCATAGGGAGCTCCACGGTAGGCCCCAGTGGGGGTGGGCGCATGCGTGTCCCCACCCCAGGGCAGCGCTTCGTGGCCCCATAGGGAGCTCCACCGAAGGCCCCAGTGGGGGTGTTCGCATGCGTCTCCCACCCAGGACAACGCTTCGTGGCCCCATAGGGAGCTCCACCGAAGGCCTCAATCGGGGTGCCCGCATGCGTCTCCCCCACCCAGCGCTTCGTGGCCCCATAGGGAGCTCCACCGAAGGCGCCAGAGGCGCAGTTCGCATGCGTCCCCCGCGCCCAGGACAGCGCTTCGTGGCCCCATAAGGAGCTCCAGCGAAGGTCCCAATGGCGCAGTTCGCATGCGCTTCCCTCGCCAAGGTCAGCGCTTCGTGGCCCCATAAGGGGGCCACACAAAAGGCCCCAGTGGCGGTGTCCACATGCGTCCGCGCCACCAATTTCGGCGCACCTCTCACAAGTTTCGTGGCCCCATCGGAACTTCACCGAAACGGGTACGCACAATGCGGTACTCGCAACTGCAAATGGTTGGGTCCTTCGTCAGGCTAATTTTCTAAGTTTTCGTCCCCCCCCACTTCCCATATTTTCCCAGATTTTCCTGGGAGTCGACTATAAATTGTGTCTGTGTGTTGTTTCCCCTCCTGAAATTTCCCTTTCGTGCTGATCCTCCTCGTCCTCGTCCTCGGCATCGTCGTTGTTTCCCTCCTCCCTGGTGTCAGCCATGCGCGTGATCGAAGGGGGGGCGGCCCCCAAATGGAAACGCACATAGGCGACGCCGGCGATTAGCGCCGACACCCGCCCGACAGCTGGAGGACGACAGGGGCAATGCAAGCGGCGCTGCTTCAGCGAGGGGGGCAGCAGGGCCGCGGGGCACTGGGCCAACATGGCTACAGACAGCAGGGAGAGACACACAAAGGCGGGAGGAAGGTGCGCCTCAAGCGGATACGTGGCACGGCCCCAGACAAAAGTAAAAAACAAAAAGGCGCGGGAGCGGCAGAGGCAGGCGGCATCGGCTCTTTTTTCTCCATGTCCACCCCCTTCCCCCTCCCCCCGCTCCCCTACAAGATGTCCCACCACGACGACGACAACGATGACGACGACGACGACGGTGGCGGCGGCGGCGGGGGCGACGGCGTACGACGACGCAGTGCGGATGCCCCATAAGTGGGGGTGAAACTGCTCATGCCCGCTGTAGCCGACAACGACAACAACAACGACAACGACAACGGCAACAGCAAACACAACAACAACAACAACCACAACAACAACAACAACAACGACAACAGCAGCAGCAGCAGCAGCAGCAACAACAACAACAACAACAACAGCAGCAGCAGCAGCAGCAGCAGGAGCAGCAGCAGCAGCAGCCACAACAACAACAACAACAGTACCAACACCAACACCAACACCAACACCAACAACAACAACAACAACAACAACAACAATCACTTCACCCGAACGCTCAGTGTTCTCAACAGTGCCAGGGTTTTCATGCGACGCCAGCCAATACCCCCACTTTGTGGGGGGGCAATGCAAGCTCTACCAAATATCCACACGACTCTTCGCCACCACCCACACCCAGCTTCCCGCCCTATGACGTTCGGACACTTCACTTCGTGGCCTGCGGACGACCGTGGCTACTACACTGGCGTGGAGTACACACCCACAGAAGTTGTTAAGCCTACGTTCGTACACCCACAGAAGTTGTTAAGCCTTGTTAACCCACAGAAGTTGTTAAGCCTTCCACAGAACATCTGTTGCATATGATGCATATGGTACATGATACACATGATACACATGCGCGGTGCTAAAATTCTTAAAAACCCAATGGTTTTTGGAGATTTCGGCGTGCGCGCGCGAAGAAAAAACGAATGTGTCCCGCATGGTATTATTTGACAGGGATGATGGCCCTGGCAGGTGCGCAACCGTTGTCGCAGAAGTTCGAAAAAGTTGCTCGCAAAAGCCCGTTTGACAGAAATGTTTAAAAAGTGTTGGGTTTCCTACGAATCCGCAAGAGCGCGCGGGATGAGATTTTGACATTTTTTTGTTGAAAAACCATTGGTTTTTTGATGTTTTTATGTTAAAATCGCTCCGAACACTAAGCTTTTGGAAGGATTTCGTCTTGCGCGCGCGAATGTCCACTTTACCTTATTTTTTGCAAGGGATTCTTGAAATTTGATTATATTAGAACAAGAAATGTCATTTTATAGTGTTTTTTGCAAGGGAAAGCGGATTACAACAAAACAACCGGATCTGATCACATCGTTTTCCTGAGGCTTCCTCACGAAAATGATGAAAATGTAGCTGCGGCCTAGGCGGCGCAGGGGGGGCGCGCACCAGGGGGCCCAACAATAATTATTCTTTAGAATTAATAATGTTCAATTACTAGCACGTGGGGACACTCCGTTCTCACCAGTGCCAGGGTTTTCATAGGAGGCGGGCAATACCCCCACTTTGTGGGGGGGCCGGTTCAAGCTCTACCAAATTTCCAAACGACTCTTCGCCACCACCCACACCCAGCTTCCCGCCCTATGACGTTCGGACACTTCACTTCGTGGCATGCGGACGACCGTGGCTACTATTCAGGGCCCCGCGGCCGACGACGACGGCGTGCGCGCGCGAAGAAAAAACGAATGTGTCCCGCATGGTATTATTTGACAGGGATGATGGCCCTGGCAGGTGCGCAACCGTTGTTGCAGAAGTTCGAAAAAGTTGCTCGCAAAAGCCCGTTTGACAGAAATGTTTAAAAAAATGTTGGGTTTCCTACGAATCCGCAAGAGCGCGCGGGATGAAATTTTGACATAAAAAAACATTGGTTTTTTGATGTTTTTATGTAGAAATTGCTACGACAACTAAGGTTTTGGAAGGATTTCGTCTTGCGCGCGCGATTGTCCACTTTACCTTATTTTTTGCAAGGGATTCTTGAAGTTTGGTTATGTCAGAACAAGCAATGTCATGTTATAATGTTTTTTGACAGGGAAAGCGGGCGTCAACAAAACAACCGGATCTGGATCACATCGTTTTAGCTGAGACGTCCTCACGAAAATGATGAAAATTTGGCTGCGGCCTAGGCGCGGCGAGGGGGGCGCGCACCAGGGGTCCCAACAATAATTATTCTTTAGAAGAAATAATGTTCAACAACAACAACAACGACGGCGACGACGAAGATAACGACGAACACGTCGAAAACGACGATGATGGCGAATGGCGGCGAAGACGACGACTACGCACTGCAGATGCCCCACGGGGGAGGGGGGGCTGCGTAGGCCCGTTGTAAACGTCATCGGGGACGATGACGACGACGCGACGATGCACTGCGGATGTCTCATGGGGGTGCTGCGAAGGCCCGCTGTAACCGACAACAACCGACGACGAAATCGACGACGACGACGACGGCGACGACAACGACGACAAAGGCGACGGCGGCGACGGCGGCGACGGACGACGACGCACTGCGGATGTGGATGCCTGGTGCCCAAGTGGGGGGGTTCGC